TTTTTTTTCTTTCTAAATTCTAATCTACAGTTTATTCAACTTGTACAAATTGTTTTCTTCGTATGTTTTGCATTTTTTGTTCACTCATAATACAAAATGTAATTACTTAAGTAATTTTAGTGATTGGACTATTGTTTATGGCAGAAATTTTAGTTATTTGTGATGTTAAAGAAATTATTTACTTGTACAATTGTAGTAATTACCTAATTCCTCAGTACGTGATACACAAAATGTGTATCTATGTCCCATGTATATACATCTATGCATTCCCTTTTGGTTGAAGATAGGATCCTAAAGAAAAATGGAAACTTTCAGACAATTGAGTCATGATTTGTACTTTCCATGTGAACTTAGTTCCAATGTGGATTACTTTGCTTGTGGAAATTTTGATATCTTTGTAATGAAATTATCCGTGCAAGAACTTGAATATCTTTGAAACGAAATTTCTAATAATATTTTCTGTCGACTTGTAGTCAAACAATTAATCCTATTTGTAAATGTAGGTACAATGAACATGATCAACTTGTCTTAGAGTTTGTGATGTCATCAAATCACCAAGCTTCTCGAAAACATCACGAGGTAAAACTTCAATTATGCAACCATAAATGTTTGAATCAGTTTTCTTGGAATGAAGTTGTATTAGCTATGAAATCACAGCTGACTTAAGTTTGTGTTTTGTAGTAACAATAAGATTAATGATCATTCATTCAGTAAATTAATTCTTTTTAAGAAACATTCCAAAATATTTTTTCCAAATCTTGTGAAATCTGGTTGATTTTCCAATTCTTGATTTAAAGTTCCAATTTTTTCCCCATATCTCAGGCAATGAAGCTCTTCTTCTCCAGTTCTTAATTTAAGATTCAAATTGGATGTATCATTACGAGTTTTTCCTTCTCTATTCTTGATTATGATCAATGATTTGATCTACATAGTTAATTTAACCAACATTCAGTAGATTGTTGAAGTTTGAATCTTTATTGAACATTCAATTTTCTTCATTATATATATATATATATATATATATGTGAAGATGGGACATAAAGTTGCATTTATTCCTAGGGATATGTTAGCGTAGTAGCTTGATGCGTTACAACTTTTGGGATGGGTGGTGTCTTTGTCAAGCCTGATGCCATAATTAAAGACTACCTGAATGATGTTGCGCCTCTCTTTGGTGGCTTCTTGACCATTTTAGGGGTTTTTGAGGTATGTTGTGAGTTTTTCGAGCTACTTGATTAGCCAACATAATGCATCATGTAGTTCAGAAATGGTGTAAGATAAACTTATTTATTGATTTCGTCATTTCATGAAAAAGTTCGTATTCTTTTTGGTAAATTGGGTGATTGCATTTTAATATGTTCTAATGTTATGAAAAAGAACAACATTTCTAGAATGGTGATGCCTACTAAATGGATTTGTCAGCATCATTTTGGTGAGTAGAAAAGACCATGCATTTATTGTACTGTGTTGTGAATCTAAGGATATTTTCTCAGATAGTCAAAATTCTGGGAATAACCTAATCAATAATTTTGATTTTTCAACATTGGAAGTGATGGATAGTTGGCTGATTGAACAAAACGGGAACAAGAAGTTTTTATATTTCTTCATAGTTAAACCTCACAATGTACATCTATTTATAATACAATAATGGATCCAAGAAAGGGGGAAAAAACTATCTCCTAATATTAGAGAACATTTACAACCCTAAAATTATCAATCAACACTATCAAAGGAAAGGTTTTGATATCTTTCCTTTATACATGATTTCCTACACTCCCCCTCAAGTTGGATTGTAGATATTGATCATAGCCAACTTGCTGATGAAATCGTTAAAATCTCGTGAGACAATCCTTTGGTGAGAATATCCACCCTTTGTTCCCTTGTAGGGACATACACCATACAAATGACTCTTTCTTCAACCTTTTCTTTGATGAAGTGTCTATCAATTTCCACGTGCTTCGTTCTATCATTCTGAACTGGGTTGAGTGAAATGCTGATGGCTGCTTTATTATCACAATAGGGTTTTATTGGTAATTTTATTCCAAGTTTCAATTCCTCCAAGAGTTTCTTTAACCATAGTCGTTCACATATTCCTTGTGCAGCAGCTCTGAATTCTGCTTCGACACTACTTCTTGCCACTACATTCTGTTTTTTACTCCTCCAAGTTACCAAATTTCCCCATACATAGGTACAATAACCTGATGTTGATCTCCTGTCTTCTATTGATCCGGCCCAATCAGCATTTGTAAATATTTCTACTTTTCTTTTTTTACACTTCTTGAAGAATAGTCCCTTTCCAGCAGAGCCCTTTAGATACCTGAGAATTTTGTAAACTGCTTCTAGGTCAGCTTCCATTGGCGAGTGCATATGTTGACTCACAACGTTAATTGCAAAAGCAATGTTTGGTCTGGTGTGTGATAGGTAAATTAACTTACCAACCAGTCGTTGGTATCTATCTTTTTCAACTGGTTCCCTGTCTCATCCGTCCTTTTTCCATAGTCTATGGGTGCGTTGCTTGGTTTGCAAGCAAGCATGCCAGTTTTACTCAGCATGTCAAGGATGTATTTCCGTTGTGATATGCTGATAGCCCCTTTTGATCTTGCTACCTCCATACCCAATAAGTACCGCACTGTCCAAGGTCTTTTACTTCAAATTCGGAGGCTAGGCTTTTCTTTAGTCTGTCTATCTCAATTATATTGTCTCCAGTGAGGATTATATCGTCTACATACACAATTAGGATTGTTATTTTTCCTTCTTTAGATTGTTGGAAAAACATGGTATGATCTGACTGCCTTTGCTGATATCCTTAATTTCTCAACACTTTTGCAAACCTGTCAAATCAGGCTATTGTCGATTGCTAAAGACCGTATAATGATTTCTTGAGTTTGCATATGCAGTCTTTTTCATCCCCATTATGGAACCCTGGTGGTATTGTCATGAATACTTCCTCTTCCAATTTTCCATTCAAAAAATCGTGCCTAATAACCAGTTGCGGGAGAGGCCAATCCAAGTTGGTTGCTAGAGATAAGAGAACTCGAACTGTATTTAGTTTTTCCGCCGGTGAAAATGTCTCCAAGTAGTCAATACCATATGTCTGTGTGTATTCTTTGGCTACCAGTCGAGCTTTATAACGTTCTATCAACCCATCATCTTTATACTTCATGTTAAAGACCCATTTACAGCCAACTGGGTTCTTGCCCTTTGGCAACTTCATCATATCCCAAGTTTTATTTTTTTCTAAAGCCCGCATTTCCTCCATTACTGCTTCTCGCCATTTGGGAATTTCCAAGGCCTTTTGAATGTTCCTTGGTATTTCTATATTGTCAAGATTAGTAATAAAAGTATGAAATTTTGTAGATAGAGTTTGATAAGATACAAATTTAGAGATAGGGTGGAGAGTACATGACTGAGTTTGTTTTCTCAAAGCAATAGGTAAATCATCACTTGGAGATCCAAATTTATCGGATAGGATTTCATTAGGCCTTATCACTGGTTCTGACTCTTTTGGTGCCTCAGGTGCGAGGTTTCCCTTGTACTTTGAGTTCGGCCTCCTTGAGTAAACTAGTATTTCCTTGTCTTTTTGTTTTTTTACATCTCCCCCTTCCTTTTGTAGATGGCATATTAGACGTGACCCATTCAGAATAGGTTGGTTCGGGAGGAAAGAGGTTAAAGTTAAAAAATTCTTCAAAGGACTTCTCTTCACTCAGATTCTCCCCTTGAAGAGAATGTTTTTTGAAGTAGGGTGTGTTTTCAAAGAAGGTGACATTGTGGCTAACAAAGACCTTTTTTGTTGGTGGATCATAGCATTTGTATCCCTTTGAGTAGGTGAGTATCCAATGAACACACATTTAAGTGCACAGGTTTCTAGTTTGTTTTGACAAGAGTGAATATGGGTAAAGGCCATACATCCAAACACTTTCAGAGGTAGGTTAGAGTTAAGACGAGAGGTAGGGAAGTGTGTTTGGAATTTCTGAAGGGGTGAGTCGAAGGATAGGGTATGAATGGGCATTCTATTGATTAGATATGTGGCTATTAAAATGGCATCGCCCCAGAATAGTTTTGGCACGTTAGTAGTGAACATTAAGGCACAGGCAACTTCAAGGAGGTGTATTTTTTCGCTCCACGATCCCATTTTGTTGAGGTGTATTGATACAAGAGCTTTTTTTGTAATGATTCGAGTCTCTGTACTCAAGCCGTTAGCTTACGTACTGTCCAATTTAGGTGGGCTTTGCGCTCACTTACCCCTCATGGCTTTCTGTCGTGTCCCTCAGAATTCGAACTCATAACTTTTCATTTAAGTAAGACTTAAGTTGAATCCTGATACCAATTGGGCAGCTTTGGTAGACTATCCCATGGTTTTGTAGGTAGTCTCGTAGTGTAGTATTGATGTATTTTGTGTCGTTATCTGTGCGGCGTATTAGAATTTGTGCTTGAAATTGCATACGAATCATTGAGTGAAAATAGATAAATACGGACCGGACTTCAGATTTTTCTTTGAGTAGATAAGACCCAACAGACTCAAGTATGGTCATCTATGAATGTGATAAACCATCTGGTGTTTGGTCGATTCGGGGTTTGAGAATGTCCCCATAGGTCACTGTGGATCATAGTGAAGGGTTTAGTTGGTTTGTATGTAGTGCTTGGGTAAGAAGTACGCTAATGTTTTGCAAGTTCACAATTTTCACATTGAAAATCAACTGAAATTTTATTCGAAAATAATGAAGGGATTACAAGTTTCAAATACTGAAAATTCAGGTGGCCTAGTCTATTATGCCATAACAGAATTTCACTATCCCTAGAAACAGATGCAGACTCAGAAGTTGCAATTTTATGCCGCTTACTCATATCGACCTCCTCAAAGTAGTACAGTCCTTCGTACTCTTTAGTACTGCCAATCGTCTTCCTCGATGAAAGGTCCTGAAAAATACAGTGAGATGGAAGAAATTTAGCAGAGCAATTGGAGTCTCTAGTTAGTTTGCTAATTGACAATAGATTACGAGATAAATTTGGAACATGTAAGACAGATTCAAGTGTGTTATAGAATTAGAGATCTTGATACTCCCTTTTCCTGCAACAGATGAGAGGAAGCCATCTGCAATTTTGACTTTAATGTTGTCAGCACAAGTTGAGTATGAGGAAAAAAGGTGATAAGCGTCCGTCATATGATCGGATGCTCCAGAGTCAATAATCCAGGGAGTTTTTGATTTTGAAGTGGTACACAAGGCTCTCAAGAAATTACCTTTATGAGCTAGGGAGCTTGAATGACCATTAGGAATGGACTGACCAGAAGTTTGAAGGCTGGAGAAATTTTGGTAGAGTTGTTCCAATTGTTCGGGATTGAATGCACCACTTTGAGTAGGAGTGATTTTTGCCTCGGTTTGATATCCCCGACTCCTAGTACTTTGCCTCGGCTTCCAATTTGTGGGCTTTCCATGGAGGTCCCAACATGTATTTTCGTTGTGTTTAGGCATATGGCAATGTTCACACCAAGGTCAGTTACGTTGTTTCTGGCTTGACCCATTTATTGCTGACTTTGATGACATACCCATGACTTTAGGCCCATTAGCTTCCAGCCCAATACCTTTCCCACTTGGCCGTCCAATAAGCAGATTTTTTTTCAGTAATTGGGCCATGATAGGTTAGCCCATTACTCCCACCAATTTTTGGTCCTTTACCTTTCATCATAAGGCTCGACAGTTCATTGGGTCCATGAGAGTCTTCAACCAGCATCACCAGAAGTTGCGCCTCCTCTCGTCGAATCTCAGAGAAGACCTCGCGAAGGGATTGCAGTGGTTGCCGACCAAGGATTCGGCCTCTAATGTCATCGAGGTCTCGATTTAATCCAGCCGAGAACTCATACACTCTTTCATTCTCAATTTTCTTCCTACACCGCACGTTATTGTCTCCACAGCTCTACTCTTCCTCACTGCTAAGGTCAAGATCCTACCAAAGTGAGGTAATCTCCATGAAATAGTCGGTAACATCTCTGTTTCCCTGCTTTGTTTGCCACAATTGGGTCTTGATTTCAAAGATGTGTGATGAGTTTTCCGAGTCTGAGTTTCTCTCACCGCATCCCACACCTCTTTTGCAGTTGGCAGGAAGAGAGGTCTTTCCTATTGCCTATTTCATAGAGTTCACTAACCAAGCGGTGACCATGGAATTTTCCGACTTCCATTGTTGTAGGAGGATAGGATCTGTTGGTTTATTCGTTTCATCGGTAAGGTAGCCTAGTTTCCCCTTTCCATCAATCACCAACTTTATTGATTGGGCCCATTCACGAAAATTTTTTCCATTTAGTTTTTCAACTGTAAGCTGAAAAGACGAGTTCTCGAAACCGTGAGAACCAATTGTGGAGTTAACCTCTGTCTCGATTTGTGGGGTGTCAGACATGACTGACCCCAAACTGTTGACGGGAAATTCTGCTATAGGTTGTTAGGTTTAGACAATCCTCTGATACAATGAATAAAACGGGAACAAAAAGTTTTTATATTTCTTCATAATTAAACCTCACAATGTACATCTATTTATAATACAATAATGGAGCCAAGAAAGGACAAAAAAAAAAAAAAAAAAAAAAAAAAAAAAAAAAACAAAACAAAACAAAACAAAACAAAACTATCCCCCTAATATTAGAGAACATTTGCAGCCCTAAAATTATCAATCAACACTATCAAAGGAAAGATTTTGATATCTTTCCTTTATACACGATTTCCTACACTAATCAAACTGCTTTTGGAAATATAGGAGCTGAACAAGATTTGAACAAATTTACTTCAAAAATAGGTTAAAATAATTAACCTTTTGGATTTGACAGAGCCCATTTGGCAAAGGCTTTTTTCACAAAATGAAATCCCTCGTTATGTAGGGTGTCGCTTCATTGTTGAAATACGTGCTAGGGAAAGCTTCGAATTTCATACCATCAGATAGGAAAAACTAGAAAATTTTCTCATATAAGAATTTTGCATTTTTTTTTCAGGACTATCTCCATTCTCTAAACCTACTATTCTCTATTTAACTTCAAAAAAATTCTTGTTTTAATGTCTTTCAGATAACCATGAGGGTAACAGCAGATATGTTGAACGACATAAAGCACATCTTTGTTTGCTTTTTAACTAAATTGCCTATGATGGGTTGATTTCATGATATGTGAAGATCTCAGTGGTACAAGAACATCCTAATTTCTGTCTCAGTAGCTACAACATTAGCGAATAGGGAACTTATTTAGCAAATACCTCACACGAGGCCATAGGATAGTGATTTCTGTTGTAAATATTTATCCTATTACATAGTCAACTACACCATGTTTCGTGCTTTGCACGTATGTCACACTAGTTCCTTTAAAAAAGGCATTATCAAAGAACTGTTCATTTGTGAGTTCCCTCTCACACTTTACTGTTCCTCCACTCTTCATTTATGAGTTCTCCATCTCACAAACAATTTGAATAAATTATTGTACACGAGCGAGTTTTCTTTGTTCTAATACTGTTCACTAAATATCTCGTCACCTAACCTTTACCATTCCCTTTCCCTTTCCCTTTCACTCTCACTCTCACTCTCACTTTCCCTTTCAAGAGCACTCCCGATTTCTATACGTTGTATTTGTCATGATTTCCTGGTTATCATTAATTTAAGATGAAGTCCTAATTAGATTTGTTCTGGTTTCTTCACTTCAATTGTTGGATCTGCTTTTATTTTATTTATTTATTTATTTATTTTTTTGTTCAATCTTTTGAGAAATCGAACTCAAAATAGCTAAAGGAGTTGTGTATTATTTGTTCAATTTGTTGCTATTGTCTGTATTTTTTCCTGCTCACTATTTTTCTGTTGTCAGTTTCCAGCTCTTCAAAGTACAAAATGGAGGGTAGTTGTACTTCTAATGATGCATAGGCGACTGCTTTCCGATGCGTACAATGGAGGATGGTGCTCTTATTGGGTAAGATTCTTTTTTCTTATTTAACTTTGTTCATTTCTATACCGCATCTGTATTGGTGGAGAACAAAAGGATTACTTCCCTCTACAGCAACGTTCTTTCTGCAACGATCATGGATGTAGAGCAGTGCAAAGCTTGCTATATCTAAAGTTTACAGGTAAATAATGAATTGTGTACGTAGGTTTCTTGAATTTTTGCTGCTTGGTACATGTGTCTGTAATCTAAAATTTAAGAGAGCAATAGAATTCGTATGATGGTTTTGCCATATATGATGTGTGTATCTTTGATCCATATTTAAGTGTTTCTTACTTCATGAGTATTGTTTTGAAATTCTCAAAAGAGGCTGAAAATATGGACAAAGAGAAAAATGAGATGATTAAAATAATCTGTTGTTAGTCAATAAGTATTTGACTGCTGACCTAAAGGATGATTTGGGGTACATTGAGGATTTTGAGTTCTACTAGGAATTTGATTTTGTTACATGTGAGAGGATGGCAAGATCAAAGTTTTTAGGTTGGATGATAAAAAATGAAAAAATGGGTCGGAAGTGACTAATTTGGGTGATATGTTGTTCCTGGAATTGTACATGAAGCTTTTGTTTTGGAGATGTTTGGGTATAATGGATGTAAAGGTAATTCTATATTTTTTTTTACAGATGAGTTCTTTTGTGGTAGGAAAGATGATTGGGAGTCGAAGAGTCTTGGTATCGGAGTGTTTTATTTAGAGAGTGGGAGTATTGGGCCAATTAATAGTCACGATGGTTACTCCCCCATGTTTTCATTGCCACCTGCTTGGGTTTGTTCTAATGTGTTATGTTGAGGAATTTATATGTTTTTTTCCTTTTCGTTTTTTAGGCTAAATATGTTTTAAATATACATTCCAGTTAGTCATTCTGGTCATATTTTATTTCTGGTTGCTGCTATAATTTTACAGCTGCACAACAAAGCATAGTTTATGTTGATAAAGTTGACAAATCACCAAAAAGGTATTCCGAAGCCTACTTTAGTAAATAAAATCTTGTAGTCAAGTGTTAAAATCATTTATGTTAATGCAATTCATTCCATACTGTATCTACAATGTTAGCAAGAATCCAAATTTTTTTATCTAACTTGGATGCTAACATGTTCACCCTAAGTAACTGTTTGAAAATTCACAAAAAAAACCAAGGCTAGAGTGTATATATAATGCAGACGTAAGGCTAAAAAATTTTTTAACCTTCAACTCAGCATTTTATGAAGAGAGGGAGATACCCTTGCTTTTAATGGGCTAACAGAATGTTCTGAGTTCAAAAGACTTATTTTTCTGAATACTCTCTTTCTGCATATAATGAACATACCCATAAAGTTTTTTCCTCTTCTGCAGTGTCTTTTATGCCATATACAGTTGAGTAGGAAAACAATGTAATGTATATAAATAAAGGACATCCCTGATCCTCTGTTTATTAAAATCCCTTAACCTATGGAGGGGTAAAAGAAAAGAACATAGCACAAAGGACACGGGTAGTGGGAAAAAGAGAGACCAGTCCACACCATAAGATTATCAATTATTTCATTGGGTATGAATTACCACAATGTGTTTGTGTGTTTCTTCATTAGTGTACTACACAATTTTTCCATTGATTATATCCTTCTTCATTTGAGTGCAAAATTTATGGCTGCTAGTGAATGTTGATTTGCCATTGAGGATGAATCACCACAGATTTGTTTGCGTGTTTCTTAATTTGTTTTCTTTATTGTTGATTATGGATTAAAATCACGAAACAAGTGATGCCAACAAAATTATGATATACATGATCCTAATAGAATTATGAGTTGCTTTTCAGATTATCCATACAAGACACCTAACATCATGCAAAAATATAAAAAGCAAGTAGCGATGAATAGGACAAAAGAAAGTTGACAATGGAATTAGGAAGGAGTCACAATTGCTTTTGGGAATATCTTTTATTTTTTGAACTTTGCACTGAATCTAATATACCATCTGGTTATTAACTCAATGGCATTAAGCATTGCAGGTTTACGTTGTGCTTCTTTCTCCAGAGTAATTTTAGTTGAGCTTTATTCTAATTTCTTCCACTCCAAGTATAGCTCTTAGAGAAGTGCTGGGCTTTATGCTATTGAAAAGAATTTTGAATTTCATATTGAAATTTTTTTTTTTAATGAAACTTTCCTTTCTGAACCTGCAAAGTATAAACTGCACAAGTCCACCATCAAAATTATTACTCAAGACAATTAAATATCAGGTCAATGATTCAAGGAAAATTTACTTGAAAATTGGCTCTTGATCTACGATTATGCCTTTCTTTTTCTACACTGTAATCTTATGCGAGTTATTTGTTATGTGGCTAACCAATGTCCGACTTCTAAAGTTGATTCCATGTATATATGTAAATCATTTCTATCGAATGGTTTTGGTGAATAATGAGGTGCAGTTGTTATTGCATTTTAACCAATATAGAATATGATTATTTTCCTTTGGCTGTTTCATAGATTTCAACCAACATATAATATATTTATTTTCCTTTGACGATTATTCCACTTTATGCTCACCATCTGTAGGACTTGCTTTGTCCAAACATCTTAGTAGTTTGTGTCAAATATATTTAATAAGACTCGATGTCCCTTGATGTGAGAGGTTTTCTCATTATATAGAACTAAATATAAACTAAATATGGTAACAACAATTTATCTATATTTGGTACAATTATAATAATAATATAGTTGTAATCTTCGATAATCTCCACAATCTTATTGACACCTCCTCTCAAATTGATGCTGTTAAAAGCATCAATTTGCAATTATGAACTGAAGACGGTGACAACACTCTTGCCCACGAAGAAGAAATCTAAATTAGAGCAACCATCTACGAATGTAATGACGAGAGACCAAGAACAACAAATAGTGCAGAAACAACTAAGAGCTATTTCAAAATCACTCTAAGAACACTCCAAAGAGCTCACTTTCTAAGAAGAATTTTCAAAAGAAATTCACAAAGTGTGTCGACACATACAACAAGCTCTATTGGTTGGGAGAACTTAGTTGAACACATAATTTGTGTTCCGACAAAAGCTCTAATGCCAATACATTGGCAAAAAATTCAGCAACATATCGCTGACGAGATGCTGTAGTTGGAAGAAATCCCACAAAACAGTGTTCAAAAAAAAAAAAAAAGATCCTTTTTTGAGAATTCAAAAACCACCCAAGGATGAACCTCCTTCGAGATTCCAAAACTCTAGCTCATCAATTGAGCAACCAAAATACAAAGATTTGCACTCCCATGTCTCTCTCAATCATATGACCCATCAACAAGATCCCTAAGTTCCTTATTGGAAGCAAATCAAGCCACAGTCCAGAGCTTACACAAAATTAGCCTAGAAAGAGAAACCACAATTTATAATCCAATTGCTCATAACCATAAATGTCCATTAAAGTCTCCAAGACCTAACCTATTCACTAAAAATAACGAAGCCTAAAGTAGTAGGCTCTACCAACAAATCTATGACAATATTAAACACAACCCAGTAGTGCATTAACTCAAAATTTCATATAAAATCCAGCCCACTACAAGCCCAAAATTTAACTCCTCATTTGAGGACCTTAATCCAACAATACATATACAAGCTCACTTAAATACTATTTATCCATTATTCATAACAGCAAACTAATATACAGGTCTATTATCAAAATTAATAATAGAACCTTTGCCCAATTTAAATGCACAGTGTAGCCCAATTGAGATTCACGAGATAGTTTGCCTCCACTTCACAGAATAGCCCACAGAAGGCGATCTGCAACACAAGAACAATGAGTATTGAAGTGTAAGATGTTAATGGGATTGCAATTACTTACTAATTTCTGCATTTGTATCCATGTATCGCTGAAGATTTTTGAACAATATGAAGTTGTAAGCTGATGAAAGGAGAGTTAAATTGTTCATTAACTTCAACAACGTTGGTTTTTGCATTGATTGTCCATTGGATGTCACCAAGTTGGGCTCTATAATTTTTATCCATTTTTTTAGCTTGTGCATTTGAGATGAGGTATGTTTTATGTGGTAGTAAGGTGTCTTAGAAAGCTGTGATGGAGTTATCGAATAATGTAGTCTGAATTTTGTTCCCCTGCATAAAAATTAAGTTAAAAGATGTTATGGTAAGATTTTAAGAGATAGGACAAAAAAGAATTTTAATGTAAGGGAAATTTTTTTAGGATTTAGAAATGAGTATTGAATTGGAATGTTAATTTTAAATGAAATAGTGATGTTTTGTGATGTGTTATAATGCATATATTATGAATGAATTAAGGTTGAAACCTAAAGTTTTCGGTGGTGGAATATATTCTTGTTGGTTATGTATAAATCTAGATGGGACCTTTTATGAGTTCTTTTTTATTATACATAGGGATTACACAGAATTTAAGTACAGGAACTAAAAGGAGCTAGAAAGCTATTATGTGAGGCAGAAAGTTGTCAAGCTCGAAAAGGGAAAATGAAGTTTACTGTTTGAGAGTATAGTGTACAAGAAACAATAGATTTGGATATAGAATCCATTAAAGAAATTCAAATGGTGTTCTTTTTTCAAAAGAAGGGAGCATTTGTATGTTTAGAAATCCAATGTTGTACATCCTCTCATTTATATATTCTGGAATGTGCTGCATTTGAGATTTCAAAATATTAGAACTTGAATGAATTAAATTTAGTAATCTTGTTTTTTTGAATGGAAGAAAGAGTTTAAGAGGCCGTTATGTGCATTTGGTTTAGAATAAAAAATTGATAAAAAGATGTTTAAAGTTAATGGTTTTGATTTATTGTGGATCAAAGTTTCAAATAAAGGAAACTACGTGAGAAGATTTACCTAAGGATCCGTTAACCAAATGTGTTATTATTTCAATGGACCGTTCCAAGCTTTGCTGGAGAGCATTTTTTTGAAACTATTGCCACCATAGTCTACAAAAAATGATGATTATATATTCTAAAAGCATCATTAAGTAAAAATTGAAAATCAGCTAAGTGAATGATGAACTCTCTAGTCACCAAGAGCTCCTCTCTCTAGTATCATTCTTTGCTAAATTGAAGAAAAAATATATGATCTGCATCTTGAACTACAAAGATAGACCTCTTCCCTCAATCAACAAATCATACATCATTCTTAGAAGTCTTGAAAGCTTTGAGACCTCATATTCTGAAACACACAAAGACCTCCCGTACATTTTCTGGTATGCTTGAGGAAGTTTGATTAGAGATAAACTTTCCCCTAACAATTTTCGCAACTTAACAAGTTGTCCTTTCAAATCATTTAGATCTCTCGAGATTGTACTTGGGGTCAACTCATTACGCTCACTAGAAGCAAGGTTACCTGTTGAAGCTTTGCTCGGCGTACATGTTGCTTTTTCTTCTTCATTTGGATGAAGTATTGCTGTTTTATCTTGGTGTGCAAACCCTTTCCCAGGGGGCCACATTAGACCAGTCCTATAGATAGCGATCTGCATTCCTTAGTATGGACGAGACTTTAATCTAAGATAGAATAACAACGATAATTATGTATCCACATTGACTTAGAATATGAAATTCGGGAGCAAAATCTACTTACCCGAGATTAATAAGATATATGATGGCTGGCGATTGTCTAAAACAAAAAGGAACATCTACCAAAATTGCTTTGTCGGCAGTATCCTTCCTCCCGTTGGGAACCTGTACAAGTTTGATATCGGTCACTTGACACCCCTCTTATTCGCCTCGAAATTGCATTAAAATTTTCGTATGCTGAAAACACGGTTATTGGTCCATTAATTGTGGGATGGGCTTGTAAATCCATCATGATGTTACCAGCAATATTTTCTGGATGCACATCTTTTGGCATTGATAGTTTTCAATGTCCCAAAGGATGGTAATAGGATCGTGTATTGACAAAAATTTAAAAGAAACAATCACTAAAATAATCATGTAATCTCAGCGGATCAAAAATAATCCTCATGTGACTTGAGAAAGTGATGAGAAATTGATCTAATATATAATATCTAGATATTTTCCATTTTACCCTAGTTAGATGGCACTGTATATTTTTAACACTTGAATTGGAGCTCTGATGAATTTCTTAATATTGATGGCATTTTGAAGGAATATACCTTAGAACTGGAAGCAAAAATCTCAAAGTTTAGAGAAATGAACCAAGAGTTGCAGAAAAATAGGCATATTAGTGATACTAGTCAACGTGGACTTATCAAGACGACCTTTAATGATATTGATATAAATTGTTAAATGATTATTTTAATGTCTATTGCTTTTAAATTTCTTTCCTGTTACCATTATTGGGGCATTGAGAACTGCCCCATGCCAAAAGGTGCGCAAGAAGATATTACTGGTAACATTAGTGTAAACCCATCCTACAATTAATGAACCAGTGACTGTATTTTCAGCATATGAAGATTTTAATGCAATTTCGAGACGAATGAGAGGAGGGTGTTAGATGTGTTGACAAGACAATTTTGGTAGATATGTTCCTTTTTGCTTTGGACAATCGCTAGCCATCATCTATCTTGTTAATTTTGGGGGATAGATTTTGATTCTGCACTTCATGTTCTAAGTCAACGTAGATACACAATTATTGTTGTTATTTCATCTTAGGTAAAAGTCTTGTCCACTATAAGGAATGCATGTAGCTATCTATGACGCTGGTCCAGCAAGGCTCTTGGGAAAGGATTTGTGCACCTCGATAAAGTAGCGATATTTCGTTCAAATGAAGAAATAAAAGCAATGTGTACAGTAGAAAAAGTTTCAACAGATACACTTATTTCTAGTGAGCATAATGAATTGTCCTCCTAGGTACAACCCCCTAGAGATATGAATGATTTGAATGGACAACTTATTAAGTTGCTAGAATGGTCATGTGAAGGTTCATCTCTAATCAAGCTTTCTCGAGCATACCAAAAAATGTACGGGGAGGTCTTTATATGTTTTAGAATATGATGTGTCAAAAATTTCAAAACTTCTAAGCAGGATAGATGATTTGTTGATTGCTGAGGAAAAAGACAGATAGATTTGTCTATATCTATAATTCAAGATGCAGGCCATATATTTCTTTTTCAGTTTTAGCAAAGAATGATACTAATGATTTTCACTTAACACCCTCCTCTCATTCGTCTAGTGGGTTGATCATTCCACTAAACCGATTTTCACTTAATTATGCTTTTGGAATATGTAGTCATCATTTTTTGTAGACTACGGTGGATGTGATATTCACAATGTAGTTTTCAGCAAGAATGCGTACATCTCACACATAGATAATAAATCAGATCCTTTTTGAGCTATTAACCCAGTATTTCTGCTTTAATTTATCCTTTAGTTTATATTTCTTAGATATGAGATGACTAGGGAGTCATCAATGCTAGTTTATATAATATCCTTGTTGACTGCTGTTTTTAAGCCTTAAGTTAATTTTCTAGTGTCATTTTGTGTTCAAATTTTTAGTTTTCAACCGGTGCCTACGATTTGTTTAATGTTGCAGAACATGTTAAATTTCGTCTTCTCATGTAAATCATCTACATTTTCTACGTGTTGTGGTGTCATTAATATATGGTTTAAGTAGGAATACTTTTCAGTTATTATTCTACGCACACACCGTCATTATTTGTGTTCACTAGCATACCTCAAGGAGCTCTCTGAATCGCATGTATTTCGTTTATTTATACTTGTTTATGATTTAATTTCAATTTTAGGCTCCATTGCCATTGAATCAGAGAAATTTGAGTTGTATCTGGAGAGAGTTTTTTGCTAGCGTCTTTGGATGAGTAAAGGGGCAAAAGCGATGGGTTATTTCATGGATGGAATAGAGATTGATAAAATTTTCACTGTCTTCCATACCCGGCATAATTTGTTTAGAGTATGTTGTTGAGACTTTCTCCATAAATGTTCATTATTACTGGGTAATGAAACTCGTATGAACTTATTTAATAATTCTTTTGTTATATAATCATGATCACCATTATTGTGATGGAGCCAGATTCTTTGCCAACTTTTTTAGATGAAGAAGCATTTACATGTATCGAGAGAGAGTTGGGACTTCCATTCAATTCTGTTTATTCATCAATATCTGCTTCTCCGATTGCTACTACCACTCTGGGTGAATTGTATAAAGCTCAATTGAAGTACTTTGGCTAGGTTGTTGTGAAGGTGTAAACACTTTGTATTAAAAAAGCTACAGGGCTGGATTTTTATCTTATAAAAGGTTTAGGCTTCCTCATAGATAAATATGTTGAAATAATTACAAGTGATGTTGCTCTTATTGATGAATCTGCTCAAAGAGTTTAACAAGAGCTCAATTATGTGCAGGTTAGTTTTTTATATTATTTTGCATTTACTACTGAAGGATATCAATGTGGAGCACTTTTCTTATATGCAGAGGTTTGGAAGATTTTCCCTTTCAGTTTGTGTGTAGTATAAATCTATTGGTGATGAAGGTTAATTTTGATATATCTATGTGGGAGGGGTAGAATGCATGGAGATTTAGTTGTCCCATATATTTTTTGAACCACACAAGTGGGAAGGTACTAACAATGGAGTTGATTAAAGGAGTCGAACTCGGAACATATTTTAGTATATGGTATAAATATAAACTAGTTCTAAACAATCTCATGTATTTCAACATAAAGATTATTTGAAATTTTTTATTTCTCAAAATCATTTTTAACAATAAATTCATTTAATGCATAACTTTTTCAAACTTTCTAATCATACATTCTCTTAAATAATAATAATAATAATAATAATAATAATAATAATAATAAAATTAATAATTAAAAATAAAAAATCTCTCACAGCAAGCTCTCACTTCGTTGTAAAGAACTTGAGTTGAAAGAAAAGAGACGTATAATATAATGAAAATAATCAAAATTAAATAACTGGAATGCGCAGGGCTCGAGACTCTCTATTGATCAAAATTTTTCAAGCACTACAGGTTTTATTCATATATTATGTAATATTCAATTTAAGTGATTTTCATACTTAGCACACTGTTCGAAGCTAATTGTTCATTTAATTAGGCTAAACATGTATTAAGATATTAAGCACTACAGTTTGTAGGTTGATAGGGGGACCCATCACTAAAATAGCAGATTATGGAAAGAATTTCTAATTTTTACTTGTATATCTATACGGATAATAATTTGACATATGAAATTTAACTTCTTAAATTTTTGTTGCATAGTGTGACATACTAATAGTAAACATGTTGTTCACATGAGAATGTTTCATAGTTACAATTCTACCATATGATTACTTTGAAAAGTTGGACATATTAAAGCTAATAGAATCCATAATTTTTTAATGTGTGCAAGAAAATATGACTTTTGGAGCATATAAACTTGTTGAGGATCTAGCCCCATGTGAAGCATTCAATAATCAATCTAGCTTTGGAGAATTTGATAGTTGACCTATTCGATCTTGGTGGTTGTTCGATGTATGTTTTAATGGTGTTTATGTCAGTGTAAAGTGTAATATAATTCCTTTTATCCTTTCAAAAGAAAATGATTAGAGTATTTGAAACTGTAAATAATTATGAAAAAATAATGATTAGAACTCTCGTCTTACTCAGTAGGACTCTATTAGCAAGCGTGATGTGTGTCGGTCGGAGTTGCACAAGTATGATCATGTAGAAAATCTTAGTTGGAGTAGAGTGATCGGACTATGAAGTTAACTTATTCAAGTTAGGTTGAACAGATGACTTATAGACGTTATAATGTACAACAAAGCCCAGTTGAAAATGAAAATGGGGTTGAACTTCACAAAATTTTTCAGCCTCTGTTTCTATGATAGCTTTAAAGAGTTTTCTTAAGTTCAATTCTAGTATTAAAGCACAAGGCAAAATTTATAAGGGAGGTTTGACTATGAAAAGCCGCAAACAATAATTTTGCAGAGACTGTCTATTTTGCTTTTTTGATAATTTTTTTATGCACCCCACATTATCATTGATCTCTCTTTAGTTATTAATGAGGCAAAGCACATTGTCAAACCCGGAATAATTTTTAGTACACGGTACCAAATATAAATTAGTAGAAAGTTTAGATTTTTTTTTTTGAAATTTAATTCTGAACAATATCGTCCATTTATAACATTGGGATGGCTTGTTTAGAAGATATTATTTGAAAATCTTTTTCATTAAAATTATTTACAACCACATATTCTACAAAATCTACAACTTTTCTTGTCATTTTTCACTTAAAAATCTCACAACCACGCTTTCAAAGTGTTATAGAGAACTTTGCCCGAAACTTGTTTCAAAGTGTTATAGAGATCTTCATCCGAAAAAAGGTAATATGACGAAAATATTCCAAATTAAGTCCTTATTTGGCCCCCCCTATTATAATGCGATTTTGGAAATAATATTTGGGAGAATATGTGGTTAAAAAAAGAAGAAAATGTTTATAATTTCTGTGTATTATTATTTTATTGAAAGATGTGTAGCTGAAAATAAAAAAAGAGAAAAATGTATTAATAATTTAATGGGGGCAAAACAAGGGCTAAACAATTGAAATGTGCACGGCTCAAGACTGTACTCCTCAAACATTTTTTTAAGGGAAAATTTCATTTCTAAGAAGGTAAGTATACCTCACTTCAAAATTAAAAACAAAGGTTGAAACTTTCAAAAATTAGAATTTTTTTTTAAAAATTTTATTTATAAATTAATTTATTAAACATATATGTTATTAATTGAATATATTTAGGTCACAGTTTTTGGTCACAAATCACAATTATCTAATTAATTAGTCACAGATTAATTTCTAATCACAATTTATCAAATTATTTGTCGCAACTTATTTCTCGACCACAAATCGAAAATTTTATAAATCACGAAATATTTTTCGATCACGAATCCAAAAGTTTTATGAGTCACAAATTTTTTGTCGGTCACAAATTCAAAAAAATTATTAGTCACAAACTCATTTATTCATTACAAATTATTTAATAAATTGGTCGCAATTATTGCTTCGTCAATTGTGAGTCACAATTTTTGATGACACATGTCCGATTATTAGTCACAATCAATCAAACTGCACCATCACAACAATAGCCGCAACCAACCGTGACTCCAAATTGTGAATCACAGTCACAGGCCGCTTATCCAATTATTTGTCACAAAAACCAATCCCCCACGACCACCACCGTCACCATAGTTGTGCAGATCACCAACATCAACCCATCGTCGCCGCACACACGTCATCATCGCCGCGTACACACCAACACACCCACGCACATACACACAGTCACAGATCGCCAAACACCATCAACGCCAACACCGCAGCTTCACGCAGACCAACAGGTCCAACACCACGGTCACAAATCGCACACGCCATCGCAGCCTCACGCCACCGCCGTCGTACACGCATCAACACACCCATGCACATACACACGGTCACAGATCGCCACACACCATCAACACCAACCACCACGGGTCCGTTATAAACTCCTTCAAGAACCACTTCGCCACCATAAACACCAATACGCAAACAGGAAGAGAAAAGGGGATGAAAGTGAGAGGTTCACAGCGGCGCTGCATCTTCTGATGGATGGATGGCGTCCCTGCAGCGACTGATAATGGATTGAGGGTGGTGATTCATGGGCGATTCCCAAGACAGTGGCGACGACAGGGGAGGCGACTAGGTTGGAGGAGAATTGTAGAGAGAGAGAGAGAGACAAGTGTGGGAATTAAATTTTGATTAGGGTTTGTGTTTATATATATTTAGAACAAATATTTATTTTAAATTTTTTTTAATTAAAATAAAAAATCTGATTTATGAAATGTGAAAGTTCCAATCTGATTTTAGAATTAAGGAATTTAATACTAGGGTTCCCTGTAATTTCCACTTTTTTTAATCACCGCAGAATTTATTCATATGATGTAAAATTCAATTAAGTAATTTTCATACTAAGCACACTTTTCAAAACTAATTGTTCACTTAATTAAGCCTAATCACGTATTAAGATATTAAGCACTTCAATTTGTATTTAGGTAGTCGGAATATGAAGGGGAGAATATGGCAAATCCAATTACTGAAATAGGAGAGAATATTTCAATTTTTAGTAGAATAAAGACATTTAAAATTTAGTTTTTTTTTTCTAGTTCTTTATCTATTGATATTAATCCATCTTTTCATGCTTGGAATTTGAGTGAGTGTGTTTTTGGCCTTTTGAGGTGTTCATTCTCTTTTGAAGTTTACCTTAAATACATAACTTTCTCATTACTTCACGTAGATCCTAAACGTAATGTAACATTAGTATGAATCGCAAATTTATTCTCTGATAATTTAAACTTTTAGTAAGCAATCATTTTCTAAAATAGTATGTTAACTTGGTCAAACAAAGTCAACCCTTACCCACATTTTATGCCTCATAATTTAGAAACTAGATTATAACCTGGATAATTTCATTTTTAATACATAATTCTGTGAATTAAAATCCACTAAGCGATCATTTTGGTATATGGTGTGGTCCATACTCATATTTTATAATTTTAAAAGTTGCGATGACGATATGGACACTACAATAGAAGTTGCTTTTTATGGCATGCATTAAAGTAGTTTACGGCATACAGTCACATGCCGTAAATACACATATCTTTTTACGTCATGATTACATGCTGTAAAAAAAAAAGAAGCACACCGTTAATGAACTAGTTACGGCATGCAACCTTTTACGGCATGCGTCTGCATGCCGTAAATCAGATAATATTTTTTAGGCAAACATTTTTGCATGTCATAAATGATTGTTTCATTTTTTTACGGCATGCTAGTGCACGCAGTAAAAAAAAGTGAAGAGACCAATTTTCGATTTTACCAAAGAAAATGAAAGTGTTGGGTTGGCCCAAAATTCCAGTGCGCGGCATGTAGTGTAAATATTTGATTTTTACGGCGTGCAAAGAATGTACGTATGCCGTAAATATATTAAGTAATTCATCAATTATGGCATACATTTACGGTATGCCGTAAATAGTCTATTTTTACGGCATGCATTTTTTTGCAAATCGTAAATGAATGCCGTAAAAAGTTCATTTTGTTGTAGTTGGACCACATCATGTTCAATTGAAATATTAATATTTTGTATAGGTTATCAACCACTTGGAAAGTGGTTTCAACTATTTGAATATTGGACCACTAAATTTACAAATGCACATGGCCTAATCAAAAGCCAACTAGCTTTACTCCATATTCTATATTTCCAACAAGTGGAGTTAGGATTTTTTATTTGGGGCTCAATAATTGTCAATGATGTTATGATAGCGGTAGACGGTGTAGCAAGAGTCGATAAAGAGAACGACATTTTCTTGTCAACTTTATCCCCAAAAATTAGTTTGTTCATTTCATGGGCGGAAAATTTGTCCACAATGCTAATGTAGTTAT